TGAATTCGCGAGCATGGCAACAAGTAGTAAAAACATTACGCACTGCTCATCAACGGGGACAGACTATGAATTTAAAGCTATGGTCTTTGTGTAATGCTATTACTCAAGCTTTACAGTTATTAGAGACAGACTCGGAGAAAGGTGAAGAAAGTGATAAAAATAGGAAAGAGAATGGAATCCAAAGGGAGGAAGAGGAGTATGCAGAAGTAGCTGAGGAGGAATTAGGTCCAGAATTAGCAAAGAAAGAATCAGATGTTGTGATAGAAGGAAATGATGTTCAAGAGCTTATAGGATTGCTAAAACACATCCTTAAATGTCATTCTGCTAACAGCCCTTTAGCTGCTCCATTGCCCGGAGCTACTTTCACTTAAGCAAGGCCAAAACATGGGGAGGAGCTGCCTCCCAATCCAGGAATCATAGCTGTTCTCATATCAGAGCTTGTGCAGGGATCGGCAGAACTGCATAACAAGCTGGGTTGTTTGCAGGGGCTATAGCTGGTGCTATGATTGGTGGAAAGCGCTGTCTGCTAAAATCAGTGGCAAGCGCTGGAGGACTCTGCAACCCTATCTCACTTTCCTAAGCCTAAAAGAAAGTGTTCCCCTCCAGAACCAATATTTTATAGAATCAAAGGAGAGATTTTACAATGGGGTCGAGGGTTTGCTCTTTATCTCCACAGATTCCGGAGCTGAAATGGAGAGATGGCTAAGAAGTCCCGCACTCAGAAGTTTCTGCAAGAGTTTTAAAATTTTCCCTTTTCCTGAAGAAGAAGACAGGCATATTAATAATTATAGCTTGGGGTTGAGGGGTTCCCTATTTTCCCAAGATATGGTTCTCATTGTTTATCTTATTCACATGAGGTTTGGGGAGTGAGGTGTAATCATTCTTTTGCAGCAACTACAGTTCTTATTTCTGTAAGAGGCTTTAGGGAGAAGGTCGGTAATATCTCTGAGACGCTCCTACCCTGTTATCTATTTGCCCACTCCCTAATGTAGATCCCAGAATGCAATAATTGTTATGGACTCATTGTAGAGGAGAACAGCTTAAGATATTGTTAAATCATACAGACTTTAAGACAGTGAATTGCAGCCCTCATGGAGAGTTTATTAATAAATTTTCTAAAATACCTTTAAGATGGCACATACATAATGGTTCTTTGAAAGGAACGGGCAATGAAACTGTTATTTGAAATGATGGAGGATTAACCCCTCTTGTGCCGCATTTGTTGGGAGATACAAACTCTCAAGGTTATTTATGGAAATTATTAGCATCTGGTGAGCCAATTAAAACCTGGATTGGCAATATGTTTATCAATATTTCTAATACTGTTGTGCCTATTAGTGTAAAACTTCATATTAATGCTACTCGGTATATTCAAGCTTGTGTGAAAACTCCTTATGTTATTTTATCAGGAGATAGTACTTGGAATTCTAGTACAGGGGTTTTGACTTGTTCTTTAAATTGTACTTTACAACATTGTGTAAATTTCACCTGATGGAAAACTTTTAACTAAACCTGAGACAGTTTTTATCTTGTTAAAGCACGTCCTGAGATTTGGTTACCTGTCAATTTAACTCGACCCTGGAGTGAATCTGCCGGAGTAATGCAGATCTACAATGCCTTGACTGAATTGACCCATCGAACGAAGATAATAGCCAGTGATTGGACTTGTAGCTGTAGCATCTACTGCAGCAGTGGCGGGAGTTACTTTGCAGCAAGAAATACAAACAGCAGGCTTTGTTCTAGGGTAGCATAAAGATTCTCATCTGTTGTGGCAACAACAACATGATATTGATGCTCAAATAGGTGAAGACATCGCCAACTTACAACAAACAGTGTTGTGGATGGGAGATCAAATACCTGTGTTAGCTACTCGAGTTATGCTTCGATGTGATTGGAACACTTCTTATTTTTGTATTACTCCTGTTCCAAAAAAACGTTAGTAAGGATTGGAAAATGATTAGAAATTTATTAATTAGACATAAATATGTATCTGTAGAAATTCAGTTATTGGAATATCAAATTGGTGAAACTTTCTTTAGACAATTACCCAAACTTACTGGTAATGAAATTTTTCAGGGAATTGCTAAGAGACTGTCTTCTATTAACCCTTTGGAACAAGCAAAAGCTTTATTATCTATAACCATTGGTAGTGTTATTCTATTAATCATTAAGGTTATGGTTGAATTATTGGCCTTACGTACAAAGTTACATGAAGTAAACCTGCGTACTTCGCCCCCTCCCCAAACGGGGGTATAAGGCAGAGGCTGGTTAATCAGAGACGGGTAAGATTGAGTCCGAGTCTCTCAACCTAAGACAGGTCATGGTCGCCTGGAGGACTGTGGCTGATGACGGGTAAGAGTGATTTTGGGACTCGACAACCCAAGACAGGCACAGTCATCTGCCGACGTTTTGAGTAAAAAACGCCTTCAGTAAATAAAGGGGGAAATGTTGAAGGCCATTAAGACTCAGCCTTGAAACGGCCATGAAGTCTCATGACCCAGGTGTCAGTATCTGCTGTTTGCTTCTGCGGCTTGACCTTGAGACTAAGGACATATGCGAGTTCTGGGACATCAAGATGGTTAATTTCCTCAAGGATGCTTGGTTTGGAAAAACATAGAGTTGTTGAGGTGCATCCCAATGTGCTTGCTTAACAATGAGAAAAATATAACCCCGGGTTGTTTCTGCATGTATAAAAGGAAGATGTAGAATAAACTCGGGGCTTCAGTATTCACTGTTGCCCTCCCAATACTTTCTGTCTCTCTTTTTTTCCTGAATCCTCACTCCCCCTTTCAGGGCCGTTCGCGTCATCGGCAGGCTCTGACAAGTCATAAGAATTTTTTTAAAAAAAGAAATTTTCAAAAGGCAGTTTCAGGACAAAGTAAACTATTTTTATGAAATGTACAATACTGAATCAGAAAAAAAGAAGAGGGAAGAGTAGGTGTAACATCTCAACTGAAAGAACTGAAGAAAAACTTTAATGCTTGAGTTGCAACACTGAAGGATTTTATGGGCAAAATATTGAAACATTCAGGAAGTATCAAAGGCCAAATACTGTACCAAAAATAACCCCAAAATTCAACCATCTCAAGAGGTAGCATATGATCAAGAACCAATGGTATACTGATGGAGAAATCCAAGATGCACTGAAGGCATTAATGAAGAACAAGACTCCAGGAATTACCAGTTGAAATATTTCAACAAGGTGATGAAGCACAGGAAATACTCATCTATGCCAAAAAATTGGGAAGGCCAGGCCACCCGAGTAGAAGAAATTCATTTGTTCCCATTCCCTCCTAAAAGGTAACTCAAAGAGTGTTAAAATTATACAATATCATTAATATCACATGCAAGTAACACTTTGTCAAAGATAATTAAAAAATGCTTACAGCAGTACTCAGACAAGGAGCTACCAGAAATTCAAGCCTGATTCAGAAGAGGACGTGGGACAGGGAGATCTTTACTGATGTCAGAGGGGTCTTGCCCAAAAGCCGAGAATACCAGAAAGATCTTTACTTGTGCTTTATTGACTATTCAGTTGTTTGAACAGAACAGGGGTATACTGCACAGTTTAAAATCAGCAAAGGTGTGCATCAGGGTTGTTTCCTTTCACCACCCTTATTCAATGTTGAGCAAAATAATATGTGTATGTTGAGCAAATAATCTGAAAAGCTGGATTCTATGAAGAATATGACATCAGGATTACAGGAAGGCTCATTAACAACCTGTGCTATGCAGATGACACAGGCTGGCTTGCTGAAAGCAGAGAGAACTTGAAGCACTTACTGCTGAAGATCAATGATTGCAGTCTTTAGTATGGATTGCAACTCAAAACAAAAGGCCTCACAACTGGACTAAAACACAGTATCACGAGAAAAGGAGAAAAGATAGAAGTCAAGGATTTAATCTTGTTTGGATTCACAATCAATGCTCATGGAAGCAACAGTCAAAGAATGTATTGCACTGGGCGAATGTGCTTCCCAAGACGTGTTTAAAGATCAAAGATGTCACTTGGAGGACTACAGTGCACTTTTAACTACTTCATAAGTATGTGAAAGTTGAAGAAGGAATAAGGAAGACTGGAGAAGAATTGATGCATTTGTATTATGATGTTTGCAAATAATATCGAAAGTACCATGGACTGCCAGAAGAGCAAACAAACCTGTCTTGTAAGAAGTACAATCAGAATGCTCCCCAACTTCATTTCATTACATTAGACACGTTACCAGGAGAGACCAGTTCTTGGCGATGGACCTCATGCTTGGTAAAACAGAGGGTCATGGAAAAAGAGGAAGCCTCTCAACGAGAGTGGCTGCAACAATGTGCTCACGCACAGTAATTTGAGGGTGACACAGAACCAGGCAGTGTTTCGCTCTATTGTACATAGGGTCACTATGAATTGGAGCTAACTCAATAGCACCTAACATTACCTGCACGTTCAAATCACTATCTCTGAGAGCAACAAAAAAGCCTTTTTTTCCTTGTGTAGACACGAAAGAGAATAAGAGAATACACTGAAAATATAAAAAGTTAAGAATCTTCAAAAAATAATTTTAACAGAAAAAATCTAAAACCAAAAGCTTGTACAACTAACACAAATGCTGAAACCAGTTTAAAAGATTTTAGAAACACAAAGAAAAGTGTGACAATAACCACTGACCATCTGAAAGGTTCAAGCAGAGCCAATCCAAGGCCGAATGAAGGTCACCTCCATGTAAGAGGGTGTTGGTCATGGCATCTTCAATGTCCTTTGTCTTAAATGAAAATGCCTGTAAAGCCATGTATAAGTCCTATAAAAGGGAAAGGTAGAAAAGTCAACGCTTGTCAGTTTTTTCTCCTTACTAATTTTATTCCCCATTCATTAAAAAAACACCAAAACATTTCTTTATGTTTCGGCAGACATTTATACAGCCAATTAGGTCCCCATGTAATGATCACCACAGATGCTTCAGTGACATTAGTTACATGTTTTCACAATGTGTCAACATTCTTACTAAACTCATTCTCTATATTTCAGTTTTCATAATCTGGTTTCCTCAAATGATTAGCCTTTCATCTTTGCCTTTTGAGTAACTGTCCACCACTTGGTGTCATGCAGATGAGTTTTTAAGGGGTGCACTATTCATGGGTAAAGGAGCCCTTTCATTTAAAACAAGAAACTGTGGCAAATGATGATTTCAAAAAAGGACCTTTTTTTCCAGTTAGATTAAATGTGCTTTCTCTACTAAAAATTTGATAACTATAGACAAATAAAAAGGACCCAAAGAAATTATTCACATTCACACTATTTAAAGATACTTCTGTTTACATTATAGTATTTTCACGTTCATTCTTCTATGATTAAAAAAATAAAAAGTTTTACTAAACATTATAACATAAGCATTTATTTGAAATGCCTTATCATATCATTTTTAATAACTATGTGATATTCTATCAGGTACATACCACAATTTAACGAAATATCTTCCTATCGCTGACCCCTCAGGATATTTTTTCTTTTAAACAATGTTGCTTTATAAATAAAACTTCAAAATGCCAATATTCTTTACAGTCAGGTAGAGTTGGGTTTACTCTGCCATATACTAATGAATATATTAGAATTATAATGTTGTCAAAGAATACTGAAGATATCAGGGACTTTCAGAACAAACAAATCTGTCTTAGGGGGACTAGACCCTGCACAAGAAGATCATGCTTGGTAAGTAAACAGGTAGTTTAAGAGGAGAACCCGCAATGAGATGGATTGACACAGTAGCTGCTACAATGGGTTTAAATATAGCACAGGACCAGGCAGCATCCCATTCCCTCGTACATAGTGTGGCCAGGACTCCGAATTTACTGATGGCACTTCACCACTACCAGGTTACCACCACCACCTATTTACAAAATGAGGCCAAAATACATGGAAACTGAGAGCCTGAACTCAAAGGACTATGTCTTTCTGGGTGTTGTAAATTTTCTCCCTCTGATAGGGTGCAGTCTCACCACTTTTCTATCGCTATTAGTTTAAAATATTTTGAGTTTCCCTCCTTTGCCAGGTTTCTGCTACCCATAAGTTCCAGCTGTCACAGGAGTTACTGTACTATGGAAGGCTGTCAGATCAGAGAAAATGTAAGCAAAGCAACTAGTACAGGGCCTAATATAATGATGCCCAATATACCATTTTTGGAACATAGCCATTTTAATGCGTTCACCTGGGTCTAGCTCTATTCCTTCCCTATTCTTTTGGACAGAAACCCAGTCTACATGAAATCTCAATAAAACATGGAAATTTAGTTTTATCTCACAAGAAGATCTGCTTTGAAAGAGTTCCATGAAAACAATAAAGCGAAGTTTGCAGAATACCTGTAATTTTTTGGCAGTAAGTCTTCCAGAAATCATTCCTTTGTCATTATTTTGCTTTTTATGCTCATTTATCACTCCAATAATTCTTTGCTCTAGTTTGTTATTAATTACCACCTGTTTAGGCCAGAAAAGGTCATCACAATTAGAAGCTCAAGTACTTAATAACATTTAATAATTAAAAATAAATCATACCATTTTCTATGAGGCTGCTAACCAACCCTAAAATTTCAGCTAAAAATCAAATATAGACATTTCAGTTTTTGAGGTTATCACTTAATTTGACAACATTTCTAACATAACTTTGGGGGGAAAAAACAATAAAATACAGAAAGGAAAAAAAAAATCTTTTGGTCTGTTCGACACAGGCTCGGGCCCGACAGAGGCCCAGGTACAAGGCTGGTGGAGTCCACAAGGGCAGCGAGGAGGAGGCGCCGCACCACGGAGATAAAAGGGAGATAAAAGCGGCCTGCGAGGAGGCGGGTCTGGGACTAAGCAAGAGAGAGGGTGGAGTGGCCCACTGGAGAGGGGAGAAGAGGGGCGGTCCCCCGCAGGCCTAATGGGGGCACTGAGGAAGGGGCCGGGCGGGCAGGGAGCCTTAAGTTGGCGAGCGCAGAGGCGGCCAGGTGCTGGGGCAGAGGGCACGCGGAGGCCCAGGGCTGGTGGGAGGGCAGCGCCGGAGAGGGGCTGAGAAGGACGGGGCAGGGGTGAGGTAAGCCCATTTCCCGGAGGTGAGGGGTCTTCCTGATGCCCAGGCCCTAGGGGGAACCCTGGCAGGCAGGTACGGGCTCTCTCTCGAGATGTCTATTTCGAAGGGCCAGCGGAGGGGTTCTTAGGTGGGTAGGAGACATTGTTTTCAGGGAAAGCGGCCACTGTGAACATAATCGAAAGGAGCCCCTGAGTTGAGCAGAAAGGGATTGGGGCTCAGGGGGGCAGAACTGAGGCCAGGGCTGGAAGCTTTAGTAATTTAGAGGAGGAAAGGGAAGCAGGGCCCCCGGGGAAATAAATAAATAAAATCTTTTATAATGGCTCTCTACGCAGACACTTCACAACATTATCCTCGGACTTCTCTCAGGTGCTACCAAAAAGACAGCTCTGTACTAAGTATACTGAAACACAAGTGTGGGGATGGAAGCGGTCAGCACACAGCTTGAATGAACGGGTGCCGTATTAAAAAGGTTTTGTACAGGTAATAACTACATATAAATAGTAATGATTAGGTAACAGATTCTTTTGGCTTCTAGAATTTCATTCCTATATTCTCCTATTACTTAAAAAATGCTTAAGTTTCTGCTTGACAATTTCTACACAAATTGTTAGGTGATATTAGCTATATTTTCCACAACGTGTCAATATTCTTTGTGCTCTCCTTGTTGTTTCCAGGACTCTAGTCTCCTTGCCCTCCTTAGCTTTGCTTTAGAATAACATACTTTATAATGTTAGCATTTAATTTCTACCTTTTAAAAATTGTAGTGTGGGTGAAAATTTACAGAGAAAATTAGTTTTCCGTTCAACAATTTCTACACATTTTGTTTTGTGAAATTGGTTGTAAAAGCATTTTGTCTTGTTATTTACATAATTTTAATCAGAGTATATAAGCATCTATATACAAATACATGATGCTGATGGAACAACCAAAAAATTTGAACTGGTGCGTTAATAAGGACTGCACAGAGCTGACAAATGACGAAGGGGAGCTAAGTCTACCGGTAGCTAGCACATGGCAAAAGCCTGAAGTCATAAAATCATGTGGGTTTGGGTGGAATAAGAAGATTGTCTATGAGCTACAATTTTCAAATTTTCAGTGGAGAAGAATAATGAAGAGGAGGCTGGAAAGGTATGTACCAAGTCAGATCTGAAAGGATGATTAAGTTGTGCTTAGAAATCTAGCCCTTTGCCACATTATTCGTAATTTCTATCTCAACATACTTCCTATGAATCACTTCTGTTTAGTATACATTAGTTCTTGGAGTACCCTTTACGAACTGTAAAATATTCCAACATTCTTATATTTTAGACCTCTTAAAAAAAGAGGAAACATTTCTTGAAATGACTCAAAACCGTAGTTACTTACCTTCAAAATAGATTTATCCAGACTTGCAGGACCACCAGAATCACTTGTAGAATTAAAGCTATAAATTTTTGGACCTGCATATAACAGACAATAAAGAGTTAATGCAACTTAATGATTAATATTCACTAGGACATTTTAATTAAATTTTCCTCTAAAACAATGCTAAGTATTATATATTTGCTTTCAGTTCTTCCCCCAACTTTACCTCACAACTCAGTCTAGGAGTTAATAATACTCCCTATGTATTTTCTAAAACATTTACCAGTTAGCAGTCCTCATAAAATGCAAATGCCTTTGTATCCAATAATGTAAAACCTATTTCCATCTTCATATTTTAATACAAATTACTTTAATCATACTTTTACCTCTTGGCACCTAGCTGACCTCTTTGAGGGTATTGCGATTCATGAGAGAGAAAATGGGTAATCTGGAAGGGAAAGCACTGTTTCTTGAAGTGGGATGCTAAGGACAAAGGGAAGTGGGAACTTCTATCATCTGGTCCTCTCTTGTCCAAGGTAGCCATGTCTATTCCAGTTAACAGAAACACTACATATTGTCAGTCCCCTAATAAGAAACCAGAAAGGAATAAATGTTATTTTGTTTGAGGTCTGTGACTCCTTTATGCTCCTACTGTGTAGTCACTCAGGGTCTCCCAGAGTGGGTGTGTTTTCACTTTAACAAATGTCCCGACGATCAGAATCAGTACTGATACCTTAACAAAGTTACTGCTGTCAATTTGAGTCCAACTCATGGTGACCCTACCTGTGTCAGAGCAGAATTGTACTCCATAGGGTTTTCCCACAATTTTACTTACTTGATCATTGTAGCAAGTATCTATAGCAAAGCACGGACTAATTTGCCAGTTTCTACACCTACAATTCAGTCACAGGGATTCCATTCATTTAGTTGTACCAACTATTCTTACCGTCCTTTTCCTAGTTGCTCCTCTCTCATTAACATAACACTTCCGTTGCTGTTGTCAATTTGATCCCCAATAGAGTTCTTAAAAGAGCAAATGCTCAAAGCAGACCTTTTAAAAACTAGTTAAGCTAAAATTTATGTTGTAAGGTTTTAATAACACTTTGGTGGTAGATATTTTTCAGGTTTACTTTCTTAGGGCAATGGTTTCAAGGATTCATCTATCCTCCATGGCTTCACAAAGTCTGAAGCCCATGAAAATTTTAAATTCTGTTCTACATTTCTCCCCTTTTGAGCAGCATTGTGTTGTCTTAATTAATGTTCTCTACTTAATCTCTCTAGGTTCTATTATCCACTGCAATGGATATACAGAATTCACCGGCAATAATCATTATTCAAGGGTTTCTTTCTTTTTTTTTAAATCGTTTTATTAGGGGCTCATACGACTCTTATCACAATCCATACATACATCAATTGTGTAAAGCACATTTGTACATTCATTGCCCTTGTCATTCTCAAAACATTTGCTCTCCACTTAAGCCCCCGGCATCAGGTCCTCATTTTTCCCCCTCCCTCCCCACTCCACCTCCCTCATGAGCCCTTGATAATTTATAAATTGTTTATTTTGTAAGGAAGTTAACAAGCTGTAATACCAGTAAGAAATACTCAAGGTTGAGATGATTAGTTATCATGACTTGTTACAAAGTTCTTTCAGGTCTGCTGATAAATGCTCAAAGGGTATACCACTCTGCTATAAGTCTCCACCCAAAAGGCATTTCAGCTCAAGCTCCAAGGGTCAGCAAACCCAGCTCCCCGAATTATGGAAGTGCCCAGAGGGATCCCACTCCAGTAAACCTTAGCCTGAAGACACTCAGCTTCACTTTCTTGGGTCAGCAAGCCCAACTTCCCCAATTAAGTGCTATGGAGCATCCTACTCTGCAAGGCAGCCAACCTGGCAGTTAGCACAGTCTAGTGCTTAACCCACCTTGCCACAATTAACCTGTCCTGTGAAATCCTTTTCCTATTTTTTCCCCTGACCCTTAGCAATTATATGGCAATATGTCAGTCTGTGCGCTTTTTAAATGCCTGTCTCCCCCAGTAGACTAGCAAGCTCAAGGGCACTGCTCTGTCTCATCTCATCAAAATGAGGCTGCTCAGTCAATATTTGTTGAAAGAGATAAGAACTACAAGCAAGTAAACTGAGCTGCACAAAATCGTGTATAATTGCTTATCTTATGAAATCAACTGTGATACTAGCCTGCTAGTCTCCAGTGGGGATTGACAATTTCCTATTTTCCTAGTTATCTAGCCAACATGCACAGTAAGCAAAAAATACATGGCGGCGGAAAATTTTTGCAATCGGTTACACCTATGTTTGTTGTGCACGAACGCCAATTCTTGTGAAGTACTGGTTTTTCCATAACACAAGGAAACAACATGACTACTGAAAAGGACTTGCGGGGCAGGTAGGAATCAGGGCTGTCTCCAGGAGGCTATGAATCCACAAGCGATCCCACTAGCATTAACGTAACGGATCAGGTCTGATCCCAGTTGATAGGTGGAATAGGTAGGATTTGGCACTTTGGAAGCCAAAACAGCCTGGACTGCTCTACATATCAAGGCCTCTGCAGGATCCCGGAAACTAAGAGCCTGGGAGTAGGAGGCACACATTTCACACGGTCTTAGATCGAAGGCTTCTCCCTCTCCCCTCCCGAAAAGCGGCTGGCTCTAGGGAAAGCTCGGACCCGGCGACTGCTCGTACGTACCTTGCTTGACTCGGGGCTCCCGGGTGCCCCCAGCCGCGGCGGGGGGCGGCCTGGCCGCAGGCTTCTTGTTCTGAGCCTCCGCGGTAGCTCCAGCCTCGGCCGATTTCGCTCTCGAAGCAGACACCGCGGCCCGGGCCGCGGCGGCCGCCGGCGCCTTATGTCTCTTGTTCTTGCCTCCCATGTTGCAACTAAGACAAAACCCCCCTCGATCCACGTCCCAACACCACCTCTGCACAGCGGCCAACAACTCCCCACATTCCGCAGTGTCCGCGCGGCCACCCAGGAACTTCCATCCGGGCTTCGCAGGCCTGGGCGGGCGCTGCTTCACAATTGGTCCGATCCAGCGAAGCCCCGCCCCCGCCCCGCCCCCTGGGGCGCGCCTTTCGCTCAGTGCCGCGCTTAATTCGTCAGCCCCGGAGTTGCCAATCAACCAATGGGAGTAAAGCTCTGAAAGGAGAAATCATCGAGGAGGAGGAGGAACTCCCGGAGGCCCTGTGATTCGACTTCTTTTGGCCCTTATTGGCCACCGTTGAGCTTCCTTTGACGTCACTGTCGCGCGGCGCAGGGACTCGGAAGGAGATTCGGTCTCGCCGCTTCGGAAGATGGCGGACGCTTTCGGGGATGAGCTCTTCAGCGTGTTCGAGGACGACTCGACCGCTGAGGCCGAAGCCAAAAAAGACAAGGAAAAGGGGAAATGGAAGGGCACACCAGGGCCTGCGGAAAAATCTGGGTGAGGGCTGTGTGTGATATATGTGTTTGTCTCTCTGCCGTGCTGACTCGCTTGGGAAGAGCACGAGGAAATGCGGTGTACGTTGAGTGGCTGCGGGAAAGGGCGGGGAGGTTGAGAGAAAGGCTGTAGGGGGAGGAAGAAAGCCTGTTCGTTTGGGGAAAGCAGGCTGTTGGCGGTCGCGTTTTCCGCCGGCGTCTTCAGCTCTACTTCGTTTGTTTTACTCTGCTGACTTCACGCCATCTTCCCGTTAAGGGCTCGAGGGCACGTAAGATTGGCTCTGGCTCTGCCAGCGTGCCTGCCCAGTGACGGCCACCTTGTCTTTCAGAAAACGAATGACAGCTTGAGTAAAGGTCTAAGAAGGCTGGAAAATAGTGAATGAGGTTGTCGTAGTGCCTACCCCTAGAGTTGTTGTGTGGGAATTAAGTGAGATGTCACATATAAAGCGCTTGGCATGTTTTGCACATTTTGATCTCAAATGCTAGCATTCGCTGAGATTAAGAACAAGAAATTACTTGGCTGTCAACATGTGTATAAAGACTGCTGCATGTAACCCCCATGAAGTAGGCGCCACACTGTTGATAGTCTGTACCCATCCTCTCTCTGACTTGGGTCAGTAAAATAACCCAAACCTACTGCAATCAAGTCAGGTCCAACTCTTAGTGGCCCTATAGTGGTTTTTCAAGATTGTAAATCTTCAGGAGAACAGACCGTCTCAACCATACCCACCCAATACTTCCAAGTCAAGTGACCCCTTTAAGATTTCTAAGGTTGCAAACATCTCAACTTTTCCCTTGTTGAGCCACTAGTAGATTTGAACCCTCACCTTGCGCTTAGCAGCAGGATTCTTACCTGACAGTCCCACCTTGGCTCCTTTGTAGAGTGATAGTAAAATTATTTTGGTAATGGCTGGTGGAGTGGATTGGAAGAGGATACACACTGGTGATAACAAAGTATATTACTTGCTTTTGGTAACAACATAGGGTACTTTGTTATCATATGTTTATCCTTTTCAAATCCACTTCACCAGCCACTACCAAAACAATACTTTGTGTTTAAGACTTGGAACATGCCCTTTCTGGCACAGTCATGACTGAAAGCAAAACCAGCATAGACTTTAATTTGTAAAATGTGAGTGAACTGGAATGATAACTAGAACAAGTAGAGTCATAGGTCTACCCTCTGCTGGAAACTTAAGTCTCCCTCGGGAACAAGTGCAATGTGAGTGTTGCATAGCAACCAACTTTGCGGATCTGCAGAATTGGAAACTGGTGACCCATTCAAAGATGGTGACTGCTTTGGATGTATGTTTCCGTCCACAATCTTGGCCTTCATCCAATCATCCCCTCTCACCAGCTCCTGAAAGAGTCCTCTTTACCTCTTGAGTTTCCCATTCCTGTGCATGGATGGGTAATTGTTCCTGTTCTGGTTCTTAATTCTGCTTCACCCTCCCTTTAAAGATTGGAGTGTACTGGTAAGAGTGAATGAACTTCCTTATGGAAAGGCTATTCAAACCCTGGTGGTGCTGTGGGTTACAAGTTGGCCTGTTAACCATAAGGTCAGCAGTTTGGAAGCACCAGCCACTCCTCAGGAAAAAAAGGAAGCTTTCTGCTCTGGTAAAGTTGTAGCCTGGGAAGCAGTTCTACTCTGCCCCATCAAGTTGCTATAAGTAGGACTCGACCGGACAGCAGTGAGTTTGATTTTCGTATTCAAGCCCACATTAGCACTACTGTGTATTCTCAAACTCACTGCCATCCAGTGAGTTCCACCTTATAGCAACCCTGTAAGACAGTGGTTCTCATCCTGTGGGTCGCGATCCCTTTGGGGGTCGAACAACCCTTTCGCAGGTCACCCGATTCAAAACAGTAGCAAAATTACAGTTACGAAGTAGCAACAAAAATAATTTTATGGTTAGGGGTCACCACAACATGCTGTATTATATAAGGTCACGGCATTAGGAAGGTTGAGAACCTCTGATCTAGTGGGGTTTTTTCCCCCCATTTTGCGAATGCTATTTGAACAGTAATACATAATAAGTTGTTCTTTTCCATGACTTTGGTGTTCGACATTGTGGAATCCATGACTGTAACTAGCAGTGGTTTCCAAAATATCTATTTTTTGCATAGAATTAAAGAAGGATATTCAAAATTATCTGAAAATGCTGCCTTTTCCATGATATATTTGTGAGACTGGTTTTCTTCATATACTTGAATTAGTTGAATGCAGAAATAGATGGGGAGGGAGGTAACTCATGGGCCAAACTGATTCTGAAAGAATGGGAAACCGTCTCCTATTGGCAGCAGTGGGAACCCAAATGTTCTGCTGCAAGGTTTGGGTTAGGGAGGCGGCAGAAGCAGGTGACCTCAGCAGAGGCCCGGTGGGCATTCACACGGCCGGTGAGGGGGTTGTGGTCATGCTTTATTTAAACATAACACCAAGTCTCTGGAACCTTACTGTGTCTGTGAGAAGTGGGTATAGTTATTGATGGTGTTTATTAAATGTGTCATGGTATTTTGATTTGCAATTTTAAAGAAAATACATCGATTACTGTATTATTGAGAGGTTTAAGATAGCCTAGCTTTAGAATAAAACTTCCAAGAAAATATATAGAAGGGACAGTTTTACATTTTCAGCTTTACTAATTAGAGTGTTCTGTGGTTTAGCCAATTTTGTTTATCTGTAAAACATGTATTTATATGAATTTCTTCCTAGTGCTATATATTGTACATGGGAAAATATTTTGGAATCTCCTCTGAAGTAAGAATTGATATGCAACATTTATTCTAAACTGCTTGTTTTTCAGCAAACGTTTTGATGCTAAATTACAGTCAGAGTCGACTCTGAGTGGAAAAAAGAGAGGGCCAGATTTTGAAAGCACAGATGAACCCATTTTTGGAAAGAAGATCAGAATAGAAGAGTCAATTACTGAAGACGTAAGGTAATATTCCCATTGTCAGAAACATGGTATACCATTGAGTCCATTCTAACTCAGCAACCTTGTAGGCAAGTAGACATGCCCCAAAGAGCTGCCAAGGCGGTAATCTTTATGGAAGGAACACTGCTTGGCTGCTAACCGAAAGATCAGCAGTTGGTGGGAGATAGAAGTGGCAGTCTGCTTCCCTACAGCTTTACATCAATCAAAAATCCCGTGGCTTGGGTCAGGTGCACCATGGTCCTCAAGGTGACATCTTTGTAACGCTAATACATCTTGGACAGCAGATTACCCAGTTGTATATTCCATATAGCACTAGAGAGACTTTGAATCTGAAGATTCCTGTCAATGAGGGATGCCCTTGGATATTTGTGAATGAAATAGTGGCTTTTCCTTTAGTTTTGAAAACTAAAACTTGCCAGAAGTTGGTGCTATTATCCAAGATTTATGGCAATGATTTTCCTTTCTTTGCATCTTCCTTCTTCCATCTCTAATTCTAGTTTGGCATTACCATTAAAAATGTATGCTTTCTAGGATGTTTTAAAAACCATTTAGTTGTTGTTATACCTAGCAAATTTAACTACTATAAATGATGTTGTGGGTATGTTACTGAAATGTTTTAAGATATATCATTGACCTAAGGTGATGGAGTAGATTATAAAGCAATATTGGTCATTTAAAATCATTATTGCATCTGATAACCACTATTGGGTTTTACTTAATTAATCACTGACTATTAGAAATCAGAGTACAGTAAATCAGAGAACAATGATTCTTGCACAAATTTACCTGTTTTTCTTTAGTTGACTCACAGTTATATTATTTCTTTAGAATTTGAAGAGAACCTAGATGAGCATAACTTATTATTTTAATGAGAATCTTGAACACTCTTAGAAGCATCGAATTAGGCTATTTTATTTTGCGCCGTTGTAGTGGTTTTTATAACCAACTTTATGTTTTCATCTAATGGCAGTCCTTTGTAGATGCACTTTTACCAAAATAACATTGGAAGTAAGCTGACTTAATTTTTGAGCAACTGATTTGGCCACATAGTCTGTATTTGTAACAAAAGCTATTAACTGATTATTTTCAGTTCTCAGCGTGTATTTGGGTAATGTAAATAATTTTAATATTGGGGGGGGTTACAGACAATATGCTACACTGAAGAAAAAGATTTTAATAGCGTAAGTTTAAAAATTTAAATTAATGAGATTTCCTTAACAATACATGGATGACCTTTATTAGCTAACCATAGAAAAATTATTTTGTGTAACTTTAACAAATTTTATTTTAGTTTGGCAGAGCTGATGCCAAGAGTGAAGGTCCAAGCAGTTGAAACTGTTGAAGGGTGTACACATGAGGTGAGCACAAAGAAAGTGGGAGTTTTTTCTCTGTAGTATGTCGTCCAGTGATCTGTGAGTTCAGCCTCCAGGGTTTTGGAAAGATTAGGTCGTCTCTGTGGGGTGCATGTGTCCTGGGGAAGGCGCTATCATCAACCTGGGCTCCAATCCTGGCCCTGTTCATTATGTAACTACAGTCTGGAGTAAATTTCTTAATGTCTTTCAACATTGGTTTTTAATTTGTAGATTTGGAATAAAGAAATCTACCTCATGAGACGGTTGTGAAAATTATGTGAGAAAATTAAAGTATCTAGGGCAGAGTAGATGCTCAGTATGTGTTCGTTCCCCTACTTGAGACTGTGCTAGGCCGACTTGACTAGAGAGAGAAATCCAGAGACATGTATAAGAAAGCGCTTTTTATCAAGAACTAATTATTGAGAAAACATCCCAGCCCAGTCCGAAACTAGTCCCTAAGTCCCTCTTCAGACTCAACACAGCCATATGCAATGGTGCAGAATGCAGGACGATCAACAAGGTGGTGAGTGAAAGTTGTCTGCATTTAATGACGGGTTCTGGCAGCAGTTGGGGTCAGTCAGCAGGAAGGTGAAGGCAGAGAGAGAGAGGCAGGTTCCCCAGGGCCCTCCTTATGAGAAAGCCACACCAACAAGGAGGCACCATCATGCTGTGAGCTGACTGACAGGTTGAGTACCACCCCTACACTTTTATTTATCTTCAAGTTGACATGAAATCGTGTAACTACTGCAGTCCCCTTGTTCCGTGTCTTGCTCTGATAACTGGAGAGTTGCAGTTTCTTTGTTCTACCACAAGATGGTGCTCACTGATAGCATACTTGACATGGATGATTATAAACCTCCAAAAAACCAAATTCAGTGCTAGGGATACAGACTTTTAGTGGCCCTGTAGGAGAGGGTAGAACTGCATCTCTGCATTTCCAGAACTGAAACTTTATGGGAATAAAAGCCTCATCTTTCCTCTGCTGAGCCACTAGTGGTTTTGAACTGCTGACTTTGTGGTTAGCAGCCCAACAACACCAGGGCTCCCAAGCTAAAAGCAAACACTGCTATTAGGTTGATTTTGACTCATCTAGGACAGAGTATGGTTTCCAAGACTATATATATATATATATATATTTTTTTTTTTAAATAATTTTATTGGGGGCTCGTACAACTGTTACCATGTCTCATGTGAGCGGTTACCAAAGGGTTACCTCTGAAGAGGAGGACTTTAACAATCAAGTCGATAAGATGACACACACTGTGGAGACTGGTCCTCCTCTTTCCTCTGCCACTCCTGTTATCGTTCAATGGGCAGATGAACAAAGTGGACATGGTTATGCATGGGTTCATCTGTCCTGGATTCTCTGTTTCCAGTTCCTATTTGTACCAGTATACATCTGGTTTAGCCGGATTTGTAAGGTAGAATTGGGATCATGATAGTGGGGGTGAGGAAGCATTTAGGAACTAGAGGAAAGTTGTATGTTTCATCGATGCTACACTGCACCCTGACTGGCATGTCTCCTCCCCAAGACCCTGTAAGGGTATGTCCAGTTGCCTACAGATGGACTTTGGCTCCCCACTCCACACTCCCCCTCATTCGTAATTATATGATTTTTTGTTCTTTGATGCCTGATACCTGATCCCGTTGACACCTCATGATCACACAGTGTAGTGTGCTTCTTCCATGTGGGCTTTGTTGCTTCTCAGGTGGCCACTTGTTTATCTTCAAGCCTTTAAGACCCCAGACACTGTATCTTTTGATAGCCAGGCACCATCAACTTTCTTCTCCACGTTTGCTTATTTACCCATTTGTCTTCAGCAATCGTGTCGGGAAGGTGAGCATCATGGAATGACAGTTTAATAGAACAAAGTATTCTTGCGTTGAGGGAGTACTTGAGTAGAGGCAAGACCCTTATATCACTCCATGCACAAGAATGAACTCAGACCTCGAGGTAAAACCCCAAACTATTAGGGCCATCAATGAGAGAATTGCAACCAACCTGAGAACTTTGTCACAGGGAATTTCTGCAGGTAGATATCCATTTTTTCCAGCACCACTTGTTAAAGAGGGCATCTGCTTCACATTTGATATTTTGGGGGCCCTTATCAAAGATAATTTGTCTCTATGCTGATGATTTTATTTCTGGGTTTTCAGTTCTTTTCCATTGGTCTGAGTATCTGTCATTATACCAATACCATGCGGTTTTGACCACTGTGGCTGTATAAAATGTGCTAAAGTCAGTGTTCTTGAGGAGTTCTCTGCTAATTCGGGGCTTCTTCCCTCTCCATATGAAGTTGGTAATTAGTGTTTCCATTTCTTTGAAGAAAAATGAGGATAATTGTATCGGGATTGCATTAAATTTATATAGTGCCTTGGGCAGAACTGACGTCTTTACTATATTGAGTCTTCTAATCCATGAGCACGGGAATCTCCCATTTGTGGAGGTCACTCTTGGTTTCTTGTAACTAGTGCTCTGTAGTTTTCCTCATATAAATCTTTTGTTCTTTTAGTCAGGTATATCCCTAGATATTTCAGTTTGTGCTTTGCTATTATGAAGGGTACCAACTTTTTGATCTCATCTTCTGTGGTTTTGTCTGATATGTATAGCAGTCCCATAGACTTGTTTGTTGATCATGTATCCTGCCACTCTGCCAAACCCCTCTATTGCTTCCAGTACTCTCCTTGTGGAGCTTTTGGGATTTCCATATATAAAGTCATATCATCTGCATATTACGATAGTTTCACCTCTTCCTTCCTCCCGTGAATACCTTTGATGTCTTTTCTTTGCCATATGCTGTTAGCTAAAACCTTCAGTATGATGTTAAATAAGAGTGGGGAAAAGGGATATCCTTCTCTGGTCCCCTTTTTCAGTGGGATTGTGTTTGTGTTTTCTCCATCAACTACTACAGTGGCTGTTGGTTTTTCATATGTAGCTTGTATTATCTTGAGGAATTTTCCTTCCATTCCTATCTTCTTGAGTGTCTTCAGTAGGAATTGTTGGGATGTTGTCAAATGCTTTTTCCACATCTATCGATATTATCATGTGGTTCTTACAGTTTTTCATGTCAATTTGGCAAATGATACTAATCGCCTTTCGTATATTGAACCATCCCTGCATCCCTGGTTCGAATCCCACTTGGTCATGGTGAATGATTTGTTTTATATACTTTTGTATTCTATTGTCCAGTATTTTGTTAAGGATTTTTGCATCAATGTTCATTAGGGATATTGGTCTGTAGTTCTCGATTCTTGTGAGATCCTTGCACGGTTTTGATATGAGAGTTATAATAACTTCATAGAAGGAGTTCGGGAGTTTGCCATCTTTTTCTATGTTCTGGAAGAGTTTGTGTAGGATTGGTGTCAGTTCTTCCCTGTATACTTGGTAGAATTCTCTAGAATTCTGTAAAGCCAAATGGTTCAGGGGATTTTTTTGTTGGTAATCCCTAGGTAACCTTGTCTATTTCTTCTATTATGTGTCTGTTGAGATTCTATCCATCAGGGATAGTCTAGGGAAGGATTGTTTTTCCAAGAATTTGTCCGTCTTCCAAGTTGTGGAATTCATTGGTGTACAGTCCTTCATAGTACTGTGTAATTATCCTTTTGGTTTCATTAGGGTGTGTTGTAATGTCCCCTCTTTCATCCCTCGTCCTTGTTATTGAAATTTGTCCCCTCCTTTCCTTGGTTAGGCTTGCCAGCGGTCTGTTGATTCTGTTTATCCTTTCAAAGAACCAACTTTTGCAGCATTAATTTTTCCATAGTTTTCTTTTTTTCCCTCTCCTGAATCTCAGCCCTGATTTTTTTTTCTTTTGCTTTTAGTAGGATTGTTCTATTGACTCTGCTCTAGTTGCTGTAAATTTTGTGCCAGCATATCAGTCATGAGTCTCTCTTCGTTTTTCATGTGTGTATGTATTGTGAAACTTCCTCTGATGACTGCCTTTGCGTGTCCCATAAGTTTTGGTACATTGTGTTCTCAATGTCTTTGGTTTATATAAATTTCCTAATTTCATCTCTGATCTGGGCCTGTACATAATCCTTTTGCAATAGAGAGAGAGAGGTCTGTATGATATAATTGTTGAGGCTGTGATTTCTTTTTTGGAGTGTTTGGTTGACATATTTAGCTGGTCTCTTGTTTGGGGAATGTATGTTTAAAATGCTTAGTGGTTCTTTGTCTACAGTTCCCTTGAGCATTATATTGTGTCCCTCATCTCTTTTTATGGTTTGCACTTTGAGGTCCATTTTATCCGAGATTAGGAGTGCAATCCCTGCATTTTTTTTGAATTGCTGTGTGCTTGGTATACTTTTCTCCAGTCTTTGAGTCTCAGCCTATTTTTGTCTGTAGTCTTGAGATGTGTCTCTTGAAGGCAGCAGATTGATGGGTTATGTTTTCTAAGCCAGTCTGCTAGCCTCAGCTAGCCAAAAGCCCCAGCTCCTCAAACCCTAGTGGATCTGTGCCTACTTAACTTTATGATGCTCCTCTGTGACCCGGCAGTGGTAATTTCCCTCTTAGTAACTCTCCTCAGATGATTTTTGCAGAGTTCCTCTGCTATGTGTTACTCAGTCGCCATATTCCCAGAAGCCCCAGACTATACATCTTTACAGGATAAGATAACCTCATTTTTCTCTCACAGCGGGACTGATGGGTTCTAACCAATGACTTTCCAATTAGCAGTCCAATGCTTAACGCAAAGTGCAACCAGGGTTCATTAGAATTTATAATATAAAATATTTCAGATAATTGGAGAATCTCATAGAAAGCTCACTGTATAAGCAGGATAATTTAAAATGACTAATTCTATTAGAATTTTTCTAAAAGACAGGTTTTGATAGAGCTTCAGGACCTTAGCTCTTAAGATAATTTTTCTCTTAAAAGTCCTTTATGTTCCTTTAGAAATTACATTTAGAAGATGCAGATGTGATTGCCCGTTTGACCATTTATTCACAATTTAGACCTTGTTCCATCCTCAGAGTTTACAAAAGGCCAAAACTGAGTCAAAAGAGAAACCTAGTTTCAGGAGCATAGAAGCGCTTGTCCTCCTCCACAATTCTCAAGCCCCCTATTCTCTCTAGTCCATTCAGTGTCTTAGTGGGTAATGTTACTTTTTATTTTACTTAAAGCATTAAGGATATTGAATTGGATTGCCTTCTGATTATAACTTCCTGCAGCAAGCTTATCTGCACCTTTCCCATCCACTCAAAAAACACTACCCTTTCCAGTGTCGGGGGTAGTTCTGCTCGTGCTCTCGGTGTATCTTATCGCACCTCCACCAGTCTTTGAGCTTTCCATTTCCCTTGTTTGTTTCTACAGTCTCTTTTTCTCTAGTTAACCTTTGCTGAGAATGCCTATGAGTTGGATTCCACTCGATGACAGTGGTTATTTCTTTTTCTTTTGGTTTATTAACATGTAAACATTCAAAAACTTCCCCTTTAGTTCTGGATTTCTATCCCATCACTGGAGTCATTTATTAGATACCTTTTGAGCGCCCGGTACTTGTTTTAATTCACTGAGTACAAAGAGTTTTAACCAAAGAGACATGGTTCTTGGTTTCTTAAGACTTTCTGTTCAAAAATCGGAAAGATTTCTGATTGGTTGCTTAACCTTCCATTATCTTTTAATCCACTACAGTTAGGTTTCTTCTCCCTCCCTTCCTTTGAACTGCTCTGGCAAAGATCTTTAGTTGCAAAGTGTTTTATGTGACTGTTGTGCTACTTTTCTGTATTCTCCCTTCTTAGTATAGTTAGGCTTTTATTAGTTCCTTAGATGTTGGTGTTACCCAGTCTGTTTTCAGAGAATTAAAACAATCCTTGATTCCCATACATATAAAAATAGAATGAAAAAAAAACTCCAGTTAAATCTCAGCGATTCTAAAATCTTGTTTGCTGCTTGTTGGTGCATTTAGTTTATGTCGCAGTATGAAGTGAGAAGATAAGGAGGGTCGACTTACTAGTCAGTACGGCCCCATAGATTGAGAAGGCGCATGCCATCATTTGGGGTCTAGTGCTCACATTTGCAGAGCCTGAAATTTTATTTTGTCAGTGTTGCCTAAGGTAGACTCATTTTAAAATCATTCTCATAAATTGAAATATGCAAAAGAATATATTTCCTTAACTTAATGGCTACATAATCCTCTCACTGTCAAACTACTTAGAAATGAGAATTAGAAGCTGAGAATAAGCTGGTTGTCATAGTAAAGGAGGACAGATAGTCTGCTCTATGAGTTGGAATCAACTCAATAATAGTAAATTTTTGGTTTATAGCCTTATGAAAAGAGTGATGAATACTATTCCTGGCCCTCAGAAGTGTTCATTAAGAAAAACAATTCACAGTTAACTCAGTTCATATGCTTGATAAACCTATCAGATTCTAACTTTGGGGCTTTGCTGTGTAGATTTCATTTAGATACCATACCTCTGATAAATTCTTCATACTGGTATACTAGATTAGGCTTCATAATTGACCAGGTGTTAATTATATAGTCAGGTTCTTGTCCTCTCGTACTAAAATGACCGTCTTGGGTCACAAGCTTACCGAACTGTCTCACTACTTCTGAAGCAGTCATCTCCTTTAACTCCTACTTGTTGACAGTTTGCTTTTAAAAATTGTTCCTAATTTCTATGCACGGCTTACTTTTCCCCTGGGGATTATTTGTACACTAGTTAGATACCTGCTATATAGTTTGAAACATGAATGTTGGCAATATTAATTTTTAAATTTTGGAAATGTAGGTAGATTGTAAACTGTTGTACAGAGGAAATCATAACTAGAGGAAAATGCTAGTTTCCTTAAAGAAAACGAAGAGTATCATTTTATTCTCCCTTCCCCCTCTTTTATTGTGTGTGTGTGGTGTGCCTATTTAGTTTTCTGAGCATTTGTTCTCTATTGGTTAGTACATTAGGTGTGGAAAATACAAAGTTATATGGAGAGGTCCTAGACTTTTAATTATTTAGGGAGGTAATATGTAACTTTTAATTACTTTACCATGAAACCGAAGCTAGTACAGTTATTTTTTCATATTGTGCCTTGAGCTTTTTGGCCTCATTTTAAAAGGCATCATTACTTTTAACTTCCCACCTTCATTGATTAAATGTGTCAAATCAAAGTAATAACTGTGTTTTTTTAATGTTTTGGTCATCAGGTTGCACTTCCTGCAGATGAAGATTATTTACCCCTTAAACCCCGTGTTGGAAAAGCAGCAAAGGTATGTTTTGGGTGATAGAGTTTATATGGATATATGAGTATCTATTTCTGAGCAATCACAAAGATAAACTTAAAGGAACTTTTTATACTTTCCAGTATACGTGCTGAGGAGTTCCAGGGGACAAATACAGAGAAAATTTAGTCAGTAATGTGCCATATTTGAAACCAAAGTTCATTTTATGAGCTTCTTAAAAAATAGTGATTTTCAACCTTTAAAAAAAAAATCTAATAAAATTTATCAACCTCTTCTCTGGGGGGGAAATCTTTAAATACAGCAATTTGTGTGTGTGTGTGTGTGTGTGTGTGTGTTTGCACGCTCGCGTGCCCAGCTTTAAGAAATGTATAAAAGTCTAGTAAAACCAACTATATTGCTTGTATTAAATTGATTTTGATGTCCTGCTAGACATTAGTAGATAAGCAGATTTTTAATGTAAAAATTTCCAAGTCATATTCTTTAAGGTAATAATATGTTGTGGTAAACAAACATGAACTCTTTTTTTTTAAAAAATCATTTTATTGGGGGCTCTTACATATAACTATCCAATCATCCGTTAATGTCAAGCAGACATGTACAGTTGTTGGCATCAACAATTTCTAAACATTATCTTTCTTCTTGAGCCCTTTGATATCAACTCCTTTCTCCCCCTTCCTCCCCCACTCTGCCACCCCTGTGAACCCTTAATCTATTATGTATTATTATTACGTATACATATCTTACATTGCCCATTCTATCCCTTCACCTACAATCCTGGTATTCATCCCTCTTGGGGAGGGGGTTATTCCACCTCCCTTGCTATCTGTTTGCGCACACACACACACACACACACACACACACCCCGCCGCTTTCCTCCCCTTCCCTTTCTCTACCTTCCTGGAATTGCTATTCCAGTTACTGTTTCTCGGGTTTGTCTATCCTGAGTTCCGTATATAGAAAGCTCTCGTCTGTGCCACTGTATGTACACCGGTCTAGCGGGATTTGCGAGGTAGGACTGAGATCATAATAGTGGGGGGAGCATGAACTCTTAAACTTAAATAAACCTACTTTTAAACTGCAGTGGTGGTGGACATACCTGACCTTTGGCTTCCCTGTTGCTAGGAGGCAGAGTCAGACAAACCTCCATGGTCCATTCTTTTTTACCTACTCTGACACAGACCATTCCTCCCACCGCCACTTTACATAGATGCTGGGTTCCATAATTCCTTGCAGTGGCGACACAAAACTCAGTACTCACGGTTAAGGGGCTTTACTAGGGTAGCTAATAGATTACCTCAATTAAAGATCAGCAAACTATATGGATACAGTCATTAGTCTCATCAGCCTGCAGCCAAGTCTCTCATTCAATCTCTCAGTTATGGGTAGCAATCTTACCCCAGCCCCCAATCTCTGCCACATGGTCCCTGGCCTTTGCCACCATGGTGCAGTAAGCCAGCCCTCCTGTCACTCTATCTCACAGATCCATAGTCTTGGGCCATCTCAGGAGACGATACCACCTAGTCTTGGTGTTTCTCCTTTGAGTTGCCATGCCAGTCTCCGATGCATCTGGTCTTAGTAACTTCTGCCACTTTAGGCAGTGATTTGGAATGTGTTTTTCCAAGGTCACGGTTTCTGTCATTGCAGCTGCTTTGAAGATGGTTGAGCCAAGGCGTGTAACCGATTCCTTCTCTGCGTGTTACACACACCCTATTTGCATAGTCCCAACCAATCATTTGATGAGTATTACAGAGCCTCGGGTACAAGAGCTGTATTTAGAAATTTTACTCTAGCACACTACTTATCAATTCTCATTATCTGATATTTTGCATCTATGTCAATAGTAAAAAAAATTCTTCTGATTATTTTGTACATTAATGATGTGTGTATGTTAGAAACAAATAACCAGGTGCAAAATGAAGGTTATATGTTGGCTCTGATACGGTTATTGTGTCAACTTGGCTAGTTCATAATGGTTTGAAAGTTAAAAAGTTATATAATGATACGGTTTGGCAATTATACAAGGATACAATCAACCTCAGTTTTGTAATATATATTCATCCTCCATTTTTCCATAATGCCAGTCTGCATGACCACCTGGTCTTTGGAACCTAGCCAGGTTGATTTGTGAGAAGTGGGTGCGTATGTATGTTTGAATTATGCCCTTGTTGTCCACCTTGCTAGATGAATGAGTGAGGAATCTCATTTTCCAAAGCCTCAGACTTTCTGTCTTTCAAAGGAAATATCTAATTGAAAGGTTGTTGTGAAGAATAGTAATATGTGGGGATATTAAGACAGTAAATACCACAAAGCATGTTTTTGATATATGGTAATGATTATATTTTTATTAATGGGTATGCAAGTGTAATGTAATAATGGAACAGGACAGCAAAACTAGTTTCTCTGCTTCTTGATTGATATTTTTTACTGTTTCTAATTTTTTCTAGTAGTTGGCTAATTTCCCATATAGAATTGTATGAAGAAATGCTTGCAAAACCCTAGTGGGGGAGGTTGGGGTAACCTATCGATTTTAGCTGTGTCCTGATATGGAAAGGTATTTTCCTGCAGACGATAGCACTTTGTGTCTTGTAGGAGTACCCGTTCATACTCGATGCTTTCCAGAGAGAGGCTATTCAGTGCGTCGATAATAGTCAGTCTGTCTTAGTGTCTGCACATACATCAGCTGGAAAAACTGTATGTGCCGAGTAAGTAACTTTCTTATTTTCATTTGTTTTATTGTTATTTTTTAATCATTTTATTGCGGGCTCATACAACTCATCACAATCCATACATACACAATTGTATAAAGCACATTTGTACATTCATTACCCTCATTCTCAAAACATTTGCTCTCCACGTAAGCTCCTGGCATCAGCTCCTCATTTTTCCCTTCCCTCCGCACTCCCCCCTCCCTCATGAACCCTTGATAATTTATAAATTATTATTTTGTCATATCTTGCCCTGTTCGACGTCTCCCTTCACCCACTTTTCGGTTGTCCGCCCCCCAGGGAGGAGGTTATATGTAGATCCTTGTAATCTGTTCCCTTTCTCTACCCCACCCTCCTTCTACCCTCCCCATATCGCCACTGGTCCTGAAGGGATCATCTGTCCTGGATTCCCTGTGTTTCTGGTTCCCATCTGTACCAGTGTACATCCTCTGGTCTAGCCAGATTTGTAAAGTGGAATTGGGATCATGATAGTGGGTGGGAGAGGAAGCATTTAAGAACTAGAGGAAAGTTGTATGTTTCATCGTTGCTACACTGCACCCTGACTGGCTCATCTCCCGCGACACTTCTGTAAGGGGTTGTCCAGTTGCCTACAGATGGGCTTTGGGTCCCCAGTCCACACTCCCCCTCATTCATAATGATATGATTTTTTGTTCTTCAATGTCTGATACCTGATCCCTTTGACACTTCATGATCACACAGCCTGGTGTGCTTCTGCCATGTGGGCTTTGTTGCTTCCGAGCTAGATGGCCGCTTATTTACCTTCTAGCCTTTAAGACCCCAGACGCTATATCTTTTGATAGCCGTACACCATCAGCTTTCTTCACCACATTTGTGTATGCACCCATTCGTCTTCATTGATCGTATCTGGGAGGTGAGCACACAATTGTATGATTTTTTCTTTTTTGATGCCTGGTAACTGATCCCTTCGGCACCTCGTGATCACACAGGCTGGTGTGCTTCTTCCATGTGGGCTTTGTTGCTTTTGAGCTTGATGGCCGCTTGTTTACCTTCAAGTCCTTAAGACCCTAGATGCTATACCTTTTGATAGCTGGGCTCCATCAGCTTTCATCATCATCACCACATTAGGTTATGCATCCACTTTGTTTTCAACGATCATGTCAGGAAGGTGAGCATCATGGAATGCCAGTTTAATAGAACAAAGTATTTTTGCATTGCGGGAGTACTTGAGTTGGAGGCCCAATGTCCTTCTGCTACCTAAGTACTAAACCTATAAATATATGTACATAAATCTATTTCCCATGTTTTATTTTTTTGTTGAGTCTATAATTGTTTTACGTCTTTAAGGAAATGACCAGTGTTTAGTGTAATCCTTTCTTTCTGCCTGAATGCCTCCTAACAATATTGTGTGGTTTTATGTGAACTGGTGTATAGAGTCATGAACAATTTTTAAATGTTTTCCATCATTAGTGTCTGTGATTATACAACCTGCTTTCTTGAGGAAGAGGCTTACATAAGCTCTAAGGATACACAGCATGACCAAAACTTTTGCACCTTTCTGTCTTCTCCTTATTGCACGTTTCCACATCTGCAAACATTGGGTTCCATGGAGGAAATGTAAATAATGATGAGGAAATAGACTATATTTCTTCAAGATTTATAAATTTTTCTATAATTAAAAAATTCCAAGACACTCTTTTTTTCGTTTTCCACTGATTATGCCTGAGATTCCAAAGTTATCCCATCCCCTATATTTTTTATTCCAAGTGTGTCCTCTCTTTTTTTGTTTATTAAAAATCAGTAAACCATTGGCCTTGGCGGAGGACTAGCCTGCTTGCCCGGCCAGCCTGGCTCCATTTTTTAGATACCCCCTGGGAAGCATCCAACCCCACTCCTTTCCAAGGCCCTGGGCGCCCCCAGACCCAGGCCAGAGCACAGCCCTTTCTGCACGCTGCCACACCGTGGAGTGTGGCATCTAATTTTCTTTTCTTCAATAAAAAGAACTAACCCACCCCCAAAAATCAGTAAACAAAGGTTAACTCTCAAAAGGCAAGTTGAGATAAACCTAATATTCTAAGAATGGGATAAAAACCAAAAAGAATAGAAAGTTTATTCCTCATCATAGATCTTGAAAAAAGAAAGTTTTCTTTTAAAGCTAATTATTTTTTTTAAATCTGTGTTTTATTTTGTTGTCTCACTTAATGGAATTAACAAAAAAATTTTTCCTGTTTGATTTCTGCAGGTGTTTATTTTCTTTATTTTTCTTGCTTTGGGCATTACTTGTTCTTTGTCTAGTTTCTTAAAGAAAAATGAGGTCATTGGTGTGAGACCTTTTTCTTTTTTCATACATGAATGAGTGAATATGGCTGACCTTGTTCTAATGGAAGCATTGAGTGCTATTAATTTCCTTCCGGTAGCTTTAGCTACATCCTACAAGTGTTATATTAATATGATTGGTTTTATATGTTTTTGATAGTTTCAAAAATAATGTATTTGATGCAGCATTTTTTATGGCACCATATTCTTTCTACCTGAAGAAATTCCTATAGTATTTATTTCGAAGGAGGGTAGACAAGTAGGGAAGGAGTGGCGCACACTAAGCCCCTCCTGTTGTCACCTATTTCAGCCCCAGAAGCAGCTCCTGGCCCCACTGACCGACACCCCCCC